TAAGCAAAATTCCCATTGATGACATATGTTCAGCAGCCACATGGACAACAGAGCACACCTTTGCAAGACATTACGCACCTGCCTCCGGGCCTCTCCATTATACTAGACTAGTAAAAGCTGTACTACAAACAGCATACTTACCTGAAGTCCCTGCCTCTGTAACATGTATTGCTTTGTAGTCACCTACTGTGGAGCACCCCCAGGGATGTTTCTTGAAGAAGAAGAAGAAGTTACTCACCTTCCTGTAACTGACGTTCTTCAAGATGAGCATCCCTGGGGGTGCTCCCCTACCCTCCCTTCCTCCCCTCTACTTCAGAAAATGGCAGTACTATGACACAGACCATTCTTTCGCTGGGTTCTGGATAGAGAAGGAACTGAAGGGAGGGGAGAGCCGAGCATGCATGATGGCACTGGGGGGCCTGCAAACACTGCGCATGCACGGCCCCAATGCACTGCTAGCAAAAATCCATCTAGAAGTGCTGGGACGCACCACCACCTACTGTGGAGCACCCTCAGGGACTCTCATCTTAAAGAACATCAGTTACAGGAAGGTGAGTAACCTCCTCTTGCTCTCCTCCCAGTTGTTTAATCTTTAACTCTTGCTGCTGCTGGCTCTTACAGTTAAGTCGCAAGGGTGCACCTCAGAATGTATTAGGACACCACATTCACAAAATAGTAATTTTAGTGAAGGAAGTAGCAGGAGACTCATTTGCTCTTTCTTGTAGTCTCACTTTATTTTTCAGCCCCCTCTGAAAATGTTACAGAGACCTAAGCTTTTCCCTCACCCCCACAGGTGTGACTGCATCTTGGGAAGGCATACTAAAGTACAGCTAAAAATAACAGCAAAGACATACTGGTATGGACTCCCATGTGGGCTACAAACACAAGCACAGGCAACTGGTGCTTGTGGGGGGAGGAGGGAGTGTGCAGGGAGGGCCACCAAGAAGAACAGGGAGCGGTCATGAGGAGGCACACCATTAAGCAATTCAAATTTTGGTGGAGCACAGGGAGGCAGTGCACCTCCCATGTGCATAGCCAGAATCCTGGGCAGGCTCCTATAATCTGTGTTGAAGTGTGCGGTGCCATTTCTTCATTGTCATTTTTAGCTGCACTAACTGGCAGCCTACCTGAGCTGATGTCACACTCCTACTACAGGGGTGATGTAACCATAGACGCTCCACTGTGCAAAATATACTTTCACTTTAAGTATCCCACTTTCATGTGTTTAATTGCAGAGAGGTGATATTTCGATACAACTTCAGGGAAGATTTTATCTTTTGGTTAGGGTGGAGTGTGGGGGTCAAGGGAATGAGCTCATGTCCTTGTGAGCACCAGGGAGAGTTTTCAAAAATTTTCCACTGCTAACGCTGATTCATCTCAACCAGTGCTGGTATTTCTAGTGAAGATGGCTGCTTTGGCTGCCTGCCTACTGCAGCTACAATCACTAACACCAGCGTAGCTCAATCACTGTTAGCATCAGTGGGAAAGTTTTGAAAATTCCTCTGATGTAGGCAGGTTAAAGTACCCATTAGGAGGAAGAAGGAAGTCACCACAATTAAGTTATACTATAGTTACAGTAACTAAATCTGAATGAGTAGAGGAGGACAGCCAATATTTGGTGTTTGTGAATTTAATTATATTTTGTGCATAATCATTTTAATCGTTTCTCTTGTTTATGTGACTCTCCCATTAGAGGCCCACTCAGACCTAATTTCTAGGCCTGACCCAGATTGAGCCTGCAAAGGTTGAGTTATTTTTTGACCGAACCCCAATCTTTCTCCTGAACCTGAGTCACTGCTGCCTTCTGCCTATGGGCCAGTGCAGCAGCTTCATGACTTGCGCCTGCCATCCGCTGCCCATAGCTGCGCCCGCAGCCAGCAGGACCAGGGCACCTACCCACCACCCCAGAAGTAGCAGACCCAGCCTGCACCAAGCTACACCCCTGTGCCTTCTGGGGTCTGCCTAAGGGAGGGGAAAAAACCAGTGCAGGCACAGACAAAAAGACAGCTTTGTTTTCCACCCCGATTCATTATCCAAGAATGATGAAAAAAACAAATCCCAGGAACAAGTAACAGCCTGCCAGTGACATACACAAACACAACTGCAGATTCTTTTCTTTCACTTATGATCTCACTGTCCAATGCTAGCAGACATAATAGTTTTTACTATGATGGAGTTAGGCAAGACTAACTGCAGGTGGTTGACATCACCCACCTATGGCCACAAGTAACACAAGCACTCTCAACCTACACAGGTTCTGCTGTTCCTCTGTAGGTTAGCAATAGGCACACTGTAACCCAGGAGACCTCTGAGTGTCTCCCTGGAACATCCAGCTCTCCGTTCATTACACTATTCATAGATTCACTGCTCCCAAAGAAGCAGTTCACACAAGCTTAAAAGCTCCACCTCAGATCACCATGTGGTTCAACACAAAGCACTTACATATGATTATAGTGAAAACAGACAAAAGTTCAATAAGGAGATTCAAGTGGAAGTATTGGAAACAAATGGTTATATAGAAAATAAAAGCAGAAGAGCTATTCTAGATCCTAGACTTAATTAAGAAGCTATCTTCAAATCTAAGTATTGCTCATCCTAAGATCCTTACAGCATTTTACAGATAGACCTGGCTGTGATCCCTCTTTCCTGAGACAAAAGATGCTGCCAGCTTGTCTCCTAAGTAAAAGCACCCTGGGCATTCATTTGTAAATCCAGATATATAAAAAATAGTACTTTGATCTTTAGTCAAACTGGATACTCTCCGAGGGTATGTCTACACTACAGCGCTAATTCGAACTAACTTAGTTCGAATTAGTTAATTCGAACTAAGCTAATTCGAACTAACGCATCTAGAACTAAAAACTAGTTCGAATTAGCGTTTTGCTAATTCAAACTAGCGCGTCCACATTAAGTGGACCTTGAAGCGGGGTTAAGGATGGCCGGAAGCAGTGCCGGCAGGGCATCAGAGGAGGACTTAGAGCGTTGAGATGCTGTCTCAGGCTAGCCGAGGGGTGTGCTTAAAAGGTCCCGACCCCCACCCCGGACAGACAGTTCTCAGGGGTGCCCCCTTGCAAAGCAGTCCTGGCTTGGATTGCCCGGAGTACCCACACTGGGCACATCACAACACTCGGCCATCAGACCGGCTGCACTTGCCGCAGGCTGCCATCTGGGGAGAGGGGGCAATTGGGGGGCTGCAGGAGAGCTTCCACCCCCAGAAGCCCGCAGAGCCAGCCCAGTCCTCCCCATCGGGGGCGCGTACCCCATTCCTCCCTCACCTCCTTCCACTTACCCTTCCCTAGCCCCTCTTCTTGATGTACAAAATAAAGGACAATTGTGTTCAAAAATG